AAGTTTTGACCTTCTATAATATATTACTATATCAAATAAATCAGATATCTGCGGCATTTCGTTTCAATGAAAATTAAGGGTAGTTTATGCATACCAGTTCTCCTTTAGTAGTCAACGTCATTCCAAATGAAACAGTATTGTTGAATTTCGTTTTCAGTTTTCTTAGAAAAAAAAAATTTTAATAAATATTTATACATATAATATTATACAACATAAATATTTATAGCTCAACACATGAAATCCATTTTAAAAAACTTGCCAAATTAAAAAGCTGTATGAATGTTTTTTCCTTAAAATCATTTTTTCAACGTTTATCTTCTTATCAAAGTTGTATCTATATTTTACAACTTCTTAATTATTGGTTCTCAACGTTTGAAAATAATGATCTGTATAATAATAGTACGGATGCTATAAATAGTTTGAATTATCTTTTAAAAATTAAATAAAGTAGTGGTACGTAATTTACAACAATTGCAATCTTTATAACATTTTTAAAGTAAAAACACTGTTATAATCTGAAATACTATTTAAAATTTTTATATTCAAAGTACTGTTAAATAAAGTTTTAATAATAAGATTTAAACTTACTTTATTCAACAGTACTTCAAAAATTGTATGAACTTTAAAAACTGTAATTGTCATAACTTACGTCTCATTAATTTATTTTATTTAGGGATGATATTTCAAATTATTTTATAGTACCCATGCTTTTTATATAATTCCATTATTTTCAAGGGATCATCCATACATTACTTAGAATTAACTACAGTTTGGCAAAAAATATAGTTTTGGTTGTTACATAACGCTGCCCGTTATTCCTCCTCCCTCTCACCTTGTCAAAAACATGTCACAATTTTGTTGAACCCTTCCTTCCCCATACGAGCGTCACGTAATTTATAGGTGATACCCATTAAACAATTTAGTTACGATATGTTATCTTATTAATTGTATAAAGACATATAGAAAACAATTATGTTAAAATAAATGTATTTTAACTCTTTTTATATAAAACAGATAATAGTAAGTTAATGTATAATTATGATGAAGCTATTTAACTTGATTTAATTTAATATTTAATTTGAAGTAGTTTCTGCAATTTTTAATAAGTTTTAATTGCTAAATATGTATCTCAGACATTTAAAACTAATTTGTAGCATCCATGCCATTGTTATATAAATTACTACTTTCAAAGTTTAAAAATAGCAATCAAGAGAATAATCAATTGAGATTAACGTTAATTAAGTTAATCAAGTTAAAAGAACATTAAAAGTACATTAATTAAGTTAAAAGAAGAGTGACAGTAAAATATTCGTATAAATATGTTTTATTATTAAAAAACAGATGCCTTTAATAATTGAAAACAACATTTTGAAAAAAAGATTTTTAAGAAAGAGCGTTAATGCAACTTTTTAGTTTGTTAAAAAATTGCTTTTTAGGAATAATTAAAGAACGTTATATTTTCTTATATGTATTAGTAATGTTTTTGAAACTCATTATTTCTCAAATTATTTCTGAACTTTTGAAGGTAATGAAATTTATTTTTATTTGGTATGTATGTAATTTCTCATTACCGATGCCTTACATAAACTGAGTAAAACAAAAAATTAATATAGTTTCTAATTTGATTGATAGAGCGATTTTATTATCACGTGAATCCTTTCGCAACAATAACATTAATATAGTTAAAAAAAAATTTACTCATTAATGATTATCCTGAACAATTTAGAAATACATACGTTGATGCAGGCATTCGTAAACATAAGTTTAATAAAAATACTATGAACAACAATAATCTCATTAAAAAACTGAAGTTAACATACAATGAATCATTATTACTCTGTAGCCAATACATGTAAAAAATACAATATTCGTATAGTATCACTCATGAACAAAAAGATAGATAATTTTATAAGACTTGAAAAAGATAAAACAAAAAATAGAAGAATAAATGGGCATTATATACAAGTTCAATCTCAATAATTGTAATAGTAGTTACATTTGTGAAATAAAACGATTATTACAAACTATAATTAGTAAATACAAAAGATCTATAATCGATAGAGTAAAATTAATCTATGATCAACATAGATTATTTCTAGTTCTGAAACATAATTATGATATTCTCGATATTCCTTCAATTTTAAAAATGTATGTATTTGAGGCAGTGAATACAATATACAGGAAATACATATTTTAGAGATCCTGCACATTAATGCAATTGACAATATCATAAATATAAAACAAGATACATGATTATTAAATAGTCAGTACAAAAGTTTGAATAATTTTATCAAACACTTCTATAACAACACATTCGATCCTATTAATTTAAAATACTCAGAGGAATATTTGTATTGTCAATAATTTAAATATTTAAGAGTATATTTACAAATTATTAAATAATTACTACAAGAGTTTAAATAGTTTTATCACTAAACATTTTCAACACAATTGATCTTATTACTTTAAAATACTCAGGAATATTTTTATTGTTAATAATTTTTACACACTTAGGGGTATATCGGTTAAGTATTAATTAATTACATGTATTTATTGCATTTATTGTGCATACTTTAATCATTACATAGACACGGTTCAGTTGACAGTATATAACGTTAATTTGTTTAGCATCTGTTGATCTTTTAAATGATCATGGTTGAGAAATCTAAAGACGTTTTTATTTTCTCAATCCATTTCAAATTTAAATATAATTTGTACAGTCATTTGTTGTCTTTTATTTAATTATAATTTATGTAAACGTTTGTTTTTTATTATTTTATTGAATGTTCTTGTTGACGTAAATTTAATATTTATATTATTTATTTTAATAAAGAGAGAGCCTGATAAGGCTGACAAACATATTAAGCGAAATGTCGATTTATGAAAGATTTAGTTATTTGTTTTCATAAAATAAGGGATTACTGTCCATCATTGAAATTTTCTTGTACTTATTAATATATAATGGAGATTGAAAATGAGTGTACTTAGTAAGTATGTATTAAATATTAAAAGCATGATCTTCAGAGCCAGGCATTATTTATGCGGTAAAATTTTTATTCATTTATATTAGTTTTAAATAATCTTTATTCTTGCCGCGTTTGACACCTATAGTAAAAACGAAGATTTCAAATTGAAATCTGTAATTAACTTATATTAGTTTTTAGTTGATACAGTAAATGAGATATTCGAATGATTTTTTCCAATTGACTTAAAAATATTTAAAAATATTTGAAAATGATTTTATATTAATAACAGCATGGTCAAACAATTATAAAATTCAATTTTGTATTCACTGTTAAAATTTTGTCTCAATATGCATTTGATATACCTACAGTGAAATAGAAATTGTTATATTACGTAAAAGTGTAAATCTTCCTCAACTGGAGATTCTTCAACGGTAAATAAATTTCAGTTTCTATAAGCTACTAGGTCAAATGTAATTTTTTAATTTATTTTTCTTGCTTGACTACTTTATGTTGCTGACGGAAAAGGTTATTAGAAACTGATACAATTTTTGAAAGTTCTAACTTGGACATTATGCCTCGCTATTTAATTTGCTAAAGATTATGTTGTCGATATTTAATATGTATTTATTTTATTTATATAATATACATATGAAACGAAACTGCATTTACTGTACTATATGCACCGTACTGAATTAAGATAGATTTCAATATTTGTAAATGTTTAAAAGCAGTTTAAAAAAATTGAGACGTATAGTAAGATCAGTAAATAATTCATAGAAGTTGTTTCCAATATTAGAGCTTTAGTATTATAACAATTGAGAGAGCTTCAGAATTAAACTTCCTAGAAATGATTTAGCTAGTATTTCTTCAACTTAATTGTTATTTCTGCAATATTTTAATTGCACTTTAAAATATTTTCCAAAAAATTGATAACTAAATAATTAATTTCAAATCCTATCGGTAAGTTAATTTTTTGTAATAAGCTGTCTGAATAAAACAGTGACAAAAAAAATATTTTACTTTTGAAAGAAAGAAATAAAAATATAAACAAACAAAAAACTATCGAATATGATATAGTATATAAAAGGAAATTGAAGCAGTTCCGTAAAAAGATGGAAATATCATTAGTATCTTGTTAATCGTGTGTACTACGAGAAGCACTGTTTATGAGTATAGCAAGTGAGAGAGAGAGAGAGAGAGTGAAAGAGAGAGAGTGAGAAGGAGAGACTGAAACGGAAAGAGAAAGAGTGTGTTGTACTTGCAAGTAATAAGGGGGAAACTGAAAGCCGATTGGTTGAACTCTTGCTGCTTTGGGCGCTTACTCTGATGGAATGCTCGTATTCGGAATTTCGAATGTAGGCTGTAGAATGCAAGCATGTCGCGAGCAATAACAGTAGCACGGCCGTGTGGCCGTTCGCCGATTCGGTCGGACCTAGTATTTGATTATAGAAAGTGTTTAGGTTGAAATCATTATGTTTTGATAACAAATGTTCTAATTGTTATATATTTAATGACAAATACATTATTCTTCATTTTGCGTCGAGTACATTCATCGATTCCCGCAGAGAAAACGACTTCTTTTTGGGTCATAATCATCGATTATATAAGAGATCGCACGACTCTAATTGTACTCGGACACACACATCAAGCAGCTGTTGGTAAGCTGTGGCTTCGTGTCTCGTCTTCACCAACATGCATGTATAAGTAAGCAAATAACGTCCCTTTTTCTTTAATTATTCCATGTAATCTTCATCTACCGATATAGATATAAAAAGAATTAAAAATTTATTTATAAAAATTAGCTGTATAAATGTATTCTAGAAATTACCCATACAAATACATAAAGACACATGTGTCAAATTTCCTTTGTGTGGATGATTGGTTTTTTTGATTAATACATTTTTTCGTTATTATTATGTCAATTATATTAATATTTTTTTATTATTAATATTGTTATTTCAATTGATTTTATTACAATTTTTGTATTATTCCACTTAATTTAACCTTTATTGTACATTATAATTTTTGTTGTAGGTAAAAATGTGCAGAAACAAAAAAATAAAAGTAAAGTTAAAATAAGAGAATTGAATAAGACCAGTGTCGAAAAAGGAGATAACGAAATGGAATCCGTTTTTGATGTTTCTTTGAAAATTGAAGCCTCCAACGACCAGTCTCATTCAAAACAGGAGTCTAGCATTGGATATATTGAAAATATTAAAGGCAAAGATAGTGAATTTAAAAGAGACGTAGAGATAGTAAAAGAATTAACTCCACAACTACTGGAAAAGAATGTTAGTGATAAAGTCATACATGATATTGATTATGTTGTGCAGAATGAATGTGCCGAAACGACACTCGAAATGCCGGAGCACGATTCTACCGAAACCATTGTAACTCAAAAGAATGAAGAAAATGCAATAGGGTTAGACTCTGTGGAAGTAGTTAAGCAATTAACTGAAAAATCTGTAGATCAACCTGAGCTCGTTAAAGTAACTCAGACCGTCAAAAATATCAATACCAGCAACAATATTACAGCTACATCAGCTAGTATGATTGTGAATACGATTACAAATACTTCAACGATCGCTACGACAGCCACATCAACTATGTCTGTATCAAACACATTATTAATATCATCGAAACTTAAGTATGTGTACTCTGCCGACCAATGGAGTCCTATTAATACTGCTGGAAAAAAAGTGTATGGTCGTGAATTTCTTATGAAATTACAAAATGATCCTAATAGCAAAATTAAACCATCAAATCTACCCGATCTTGATGTTGTGCTCAAAGACAACAGCAAAACTCGCAGTCCCGTTGATTTCAAACTGCGAGATACAAATATTGCTAGACATGATTCTCTTTTACCTGGCTTTGCTGTAAGACCTTCTTCTATGAGTACTAAACCGGTAAATAATATTTAATTAGTAGTAGATTAATTGATAAAATATTTAGATGATTCATTTGCTTTTATCGTATCAAATAAAAATAATAAATTAAATTTACAGCTTCCTGCTAATAAAAAGAGCCATTCGGGAAAACCAAAATCAAATAAACCAAATGTCATCCATGTATCGCTTTCTCTTCGTGATGATGTCAAATTACGGGAGACTGAAAACGCGTGGAAACCAACCAGATTGTTACATGGTAATATGTCAGAAGAACAAGCCAAAACTGATGCTCTTTATAAACGAGTGCGCAGCGTTCTTAATAAACTTACGCCCCAAAAATTTGAAACTCTTGTTAACCAAGTACGAGAACTGCAAATCGATACCCAAGAGAGACTGCAAGGAGTCATAGACTTAGTCTTTGAAAAAGTACGTTACATAATAGTAGAACTATTTAATAATTCAATAATCTATCTTCTATGCAAATTCAAAACACCTAAATCTGATTTTTCATGAAGTACATAAATGTGGTAATACAAATAAATTATTAAATCTATTGACTTGAACAAAATTGCCTATTGTTACAGATAAAACTTATCATTTACAATGATCTTACCAGTACAGATGTATGTGTTTTGAATTAAAATGATATTGATTGCGTATAATTGATGCAAAAAAAATTATTTCATCCACTGATATTTACTATGATACATTTTTTCGATTCTGATTCTTTAAATCTTATTTTATTGATTTAGCATTAATTCTTTCCAAGTGATAAATTGGATTATAGTTCTAAATATATATCATCACAAATTTTATTTTATTACAATTCCAAAATATTGTACTTTAATATTATTTCACTTTAATATTATTTTTTTCTGAAAAGGGCTGTTTTCAAAAATTATGTTCAAAGAATCATTTCGTCAAATTATTTAAGTGTTCTTTTATATTAAATAATTGTCTAATAAATATAGTTTTCAAGTTATCAATGTGATGATTGATCTCTTCATATTGATGACGACACTTAAAAATAATTTTTAATAATACATTGAATTTCTGAAAATTATTATTCAAAAACTATAATATTTGTTTATTTGTAATTTTAATAATAGTTTTTTTAACATATACACGAAACTTATAACATTGCATTTTTGATATTTAAACCCTTTTCACAACAGCCTTCAACTAAATTACCTTGAAATAAATTTTTTTAACGTGATTGTAATCTATTCTTCATAGTTTTATGATGAAAGCAAATCATATTATTTTTAAAAAATACGTAATTATGATAATATTGATGATTAGTTTATTGTTATTACATAACTAAGGTTTTCTTTAATGTGATTTGATAATAGATTTCTACATATTTCTTTCCGATATTTGCATTGTTCAATAGAGCAATAATAGGTATATTCTTTATACATCAGTTTCATAAATGATTGAAACTCATAACAGAAACTTGTGATATAAGTACTAAAAGTTATGAATCAGTTCGCGAAGTTTTCACGTCAGGTTAATTTGTTATCGATATTATATACAGTACTGGTCATAAATTTCCGAAAATTTTGTGGAAGAGAAGACGTTCTTTAAACAGGAATATCTCCAATTCTATTGATCGAATAAAAAGGAAAATTTCAGTAGAGTCAAAAAACTAATTTTCCACGAGGCGCGAACATTTTTGAAGTCATTTTTACTTTTTTTATGTCACTTTAACAAGTGTCAATTATCTAAAATATGTTATTTTGGATCTTTCTTCAATCACTTGTATTTTTGAAAATAGCGGAGATAGGTAAAAATTATAGTAAAGATCGAAAGATCTTAAAAAAATTCTAAAATTTATTACCTACAACCTTTTTCGTACGATGCTTTTTTTTTAAAAATTACAAGCGATTGAATATCACCACTGTCGCAAACTGATATATAGACTTACCCATTTTAAATATACACACTTTCACCTGAATAACTCCTCTGTAACGGCAGAAATTGAAAATATAGTCATTACAAAAGTAGTAGGGTGTAGAGGGAAATGTCACATGGTGATCTTAGATTTGTCCTTGAACTCTAATCTTCAAGGTCATAGGATAGTCTGACAATATAATACAAATTAAATAATTAATTAAATTATAATCAAATTAGGGGTTTCTATTAAAAAAAAAGTTAACCTTCATATGACTTTGAAGATTGAGTTCAAGGACAAATTCAAGGTGACCATACGACATTTCCCTCTAAACCCTACAACTTTTATTTCTGCCGTTCCAGAAGAGTTATTTAAGTGAGAGTGTGTGCATTTAAAATGGGTAAGTACATATTACTTTGCGTCAGCTGTGATATTCAATCGCTTGTAATTTTTTAAAAAAGCACCATAACGAAAAAGGTTGTAATTAATAAATATTAGGTTTTTTCAAGATCTTCGTATCTCTATAAGAATTTTTTACTCATCTCCGACATTTTCAAAAATACAAACGATTTTAGAAATTAAAAAAAAATGTTAGAATACTGACACTTTTTAACGTGAAATAAAAAATAGAAAAACTGACTAAAAATTTTTGCACTCCATAGAAAGTTATTTTGCCTCTAATAAAATTGGCCTTTTATTATTTTTATCCTATGATTAATAGAATCGGAGATATTCATGTTTAAAGAATGGCTTTTCTTCCACAAAATTTTCGAAAATATATGTCCTGCACTGTACCTTAATTGAATTTAAAATTCAGAATGAAATCACAAACAATATACTATATTATTATTTTGTAAATTGATTCACTTAACAAATATCTTTTTCGAAAGCTAATTGTTTTTAGTTAAGTATGCATTATTAATCATCAGGATAAAGACTGAGATATATCATTACTTAAATTAAAATTTTTATATTGATATAATATATGATTTATGAAATATACTTTATAACATTGTTGTTTTCAAAAGTTTTTAGTGATCATTTTTTGGTTACTGTTAAAGCTAGTTAATAATTGTTTAAATTGTAACACACAATGACAAGTTTTTAAGACATTCTATTACTGGAAACTAATCTCAATTAAATTTTGAAAATTAATTGAGATTAAAATTGAATTTTGTTCAATCTCAATTAAAATTGAAAAATTTAATATAGTTTTTCAATTTTACATTATATATTGATAAAAATTATATCAACTTTAAATTAAGAATATAAAGCCATAAAAATATTAAACAAAATCATTAAATAATTTTATCCGAATACAAATTACGGAATTATTTTTCAATATACAAATATATTTCTTCCTATATAATTTACCTTAGAGTTATAAAAGAAAAAATTAGTTTTTAACGTAAATATAAAATAGATAGTTAAGGAATTGAACAAATATATATTTTTATTAATAACCAATTACTAGTTCGATAATTTGTTAGTTAAAGTCCAAAAGTAATCTTTTTACTGAATACAGTTGGCTTGTAATATTTAGATACAAATTACAAATCCTGGCGATTCAGTAAAATAATTCCTCAATAATTTTTAAGCGAAATCTTGTTAACGCGGTTGTTTTATTGGTGAACTTTATACAGACAAGTTCAATGCCAGTATATGCATAGTTAAAAATATTTATTTAAAATATTAAGGCCATTTATTTATTATAATTGAATATGATTTAGCTAAATAGCGTTGCTTTATGAATTTGAGTTCTTTCTCATTGTGACTTTTATTAAATATTAAAATTTAATGAAATTTATAAAGTCATTTTTAAATAAAAGAGCGTGTTAGAGACGGTATAGAAGATATTACTAGCTTTCGAATAGTACAAGATTTTTAAACGTTGACGTAAGTATTAAATTATTAATATTAGAAATGTTTTAATCTATAATTTAATAATTTAATAAATTTAATAATAATTTAATATATAACTTTTAATAAGATTGTTTCGTCCTAGTTTTTTACGTGACGATCTTATACTCTACTAGGGTTTAAAGATACCTTACTTATCATTGTAATGTGAGGACCTTACCACGTTTTTTAATATAGCTTTTTCTCTTTGTACTTCTTTCTAAAATCTTGAGAAGCTCCGGACATTCCAAAGCCGTAATTTTTTGCTTCCATAATATGTTTGTGACGTAAATCCATTCACAGTCAACAGGAGCATTTTGAATCCCAGCCTGGTTAATTGATTTAGAGTTTAGAATTAGAGTTGGTATTAAACAAGAATTCAATTCAGGTCATGCGCATTTAGGAGTCTTGCACTCAGTTACCGTATAAAATAAGTAAAAATATGAAGTATTCAATTCAGACATTAGCTCTGGAAGAAAATTTAATGTTTTCACCACAGAAATTAATTTTACTCTACCTAAAGGAGTTCAAAATATTAATAATAAGATTCTAATTATAAATAAAAAATGTGAACACATACGCTTACATAAAAGTTATAAGTCAAATAACTATGCATATTATATTGATCTCACGATGATGTTTAAGATAATGCTCAAAAGAACGTTTTTTATAAAAAAAGAAGACTGACTAAAAGTATAGCATGTAGCTTCAGCAATACGTAAATAAATGTTTTGTGATTTTTAACTTGAAAAGGATTACTTTTGTAAAAAATATGATGAAATAAAAAGCACTGAGGAATTTCCAAATAATGTGTGAATTTTTTTAGAATTTATTGTCTAATTTAGGATTTTTTTAAAAAATGACCAAAACCAAAAAAAAAAAAAATTGTTCAAAAAATTCTGAATAAATTTATATATATTCTTTGGCTCATTTTAATCACTTTTTTTCTATAATATTTATTTGTAAAGCTTATACTTTTCGAGTAAAAACTTAATAAATGGTTTCTTACTTTTTTCGACTTTCGGTCACCATACTGAATCCGCTATGTTAATTTTTGATTCTCAATTAGGTATGGTTTTCAAGGAAAAATAGTTTGTGCATGATGTGAGTAGGATTTAGACCTATTGCGTTAAGGATTCCTGGTCAAAATTTTTGTTTTTAAAGTAAAAGTCGAAAAAATTCCATGTCTTTTTATCTAAAATCGAAAAAGTAATAATGAAAGAATTTTTGTTTTTAATTTTGCACCTCGGATTTCGAAAGTGCTCGTCAAAATCTATTAGAAAACGAAGTTTGCATTTTTTTTTACAAACGATTTGATTTTTTTTAACAGCATTGAATGTATGCAAACGTGTACATTTGACGTTAATGGGTTCAATTGAAGGAAAAATGCTATTATCTGTATTTATGTCCAAAGTCAGTTGTTTTAACCAATTTTTTTCTATGTATGTGTCCTAGCTAAAATTTTATGAAAGAATCGTATCGATTTAATTAAAAAATAACAAATTATAACAAATTTTTTGTTTTCGCTATCTAGATATTTCGTTATAAATTTAAAAGTAATTATTGATCTGATTTAAAATTTATTTTCTGATTGTTTATGTAAATTACTTATCCATGTCGACACATATTTGCT